AAAAACACCCCCCCCCCCCCCCCCCCCCCCCCCCCAAGACGTGGGAGAAAATTTGAAAAACAATGAATATTATAGTAAGACAGATACAATATACGTGTTATTCTGCAGAATACATGGTATGCATATATTACAACTGTAATACGAACGCTTCATTGGCCCACACAACTGTCTGAATATAACCAAGTCCTCAATGTTCTACATTAAAATTTCAAACTTTTCTTCAAGGCAGTATAGCCCCCGCTTATGCTCTCTCCTTCATAAAAAAACCCACAAGCTCTAATCATTTTTATATACAAGAATCAAGTTTATGCAAGCAAAAAGGGGTAAAAAGAGAGATCTGAGAGTAAAGTTTATGAATATACCTTGAAATAAGGAATGTGTTATACAATATAAAAATAGATTCTTTTTAAAGAGCATTTCATTCAAGGCTGAAAAGAAAGAGAATACGTTTGCGCAACTCTAACAGTGGGATTGACTGCTGTGTCTACTGCTGTTTTTTTCTTTTATAAATCTTTACCGTATACTGTAAGAATGGAATTCCCCTTTAACTCTTCTTTTTTTGGATGGAAAGAGATGAGAAAATGGTAAAGACGAAATACAAGGTGGAAAAAATTCGAGGATTTAGGGGTCAGCCCACGGCATAGGCACGCTTTCTACACGGTTAATATAATTGATTGAAGAAAATTTTGTAAAATACACAATATTTCGATTTTTGAATAAATTATCTACATTTTTTATGTCATTTTTTCAAAAATATATTTTACTAGTTAATTTTTAATGAATGGATGGTAACAAAAACACTTTCAGCTCAAAAAATTGTATGTAAAATGCAAGAATTATGCTACACATATATCAGAGTATCTATAACGATATCTATCTCCCACATAAAAAGAAACCCAGTTCGAATTAAAAATATCCCTTCATGTGAAGAGTGTGAATAGGGTTGGCAACGGTTCGGTTATGGGTCGGTTCGGCCAAAATCATAACCGTACCACCAATTTTTTTACCATACCATAACCGCACCATAACCACGTAAATTGGTTCGATTCGTATCTCGGTTCAGCACGGTTCGATTTGGTTAATAACCACGAAAATAATTTATATTTTATAGGTTTATCCGTTAAATTGATATAAAAGTTTCTAAAGTTTTCGGGTAAAGCCTATTTCTATATGAACTCACAGATCTACCACTTATACTAAATGCTGACTCAGATGCCACAGTAGATACTGGAATGACTAGTAAATCTCTTGCAACCTTTTGTAAAGTCAGATATTTTTTTTGAATTTGTTTTCCACCATATCAATAAATCAAAACCATCCATTCTTGATAGTATTGGCACGTCTAGAAAAACATGGAACTCTATTTTTACATGATCAGTAGTAATAGAATGACTAATAAATGTAACAAATTTTCAGAGGCAACGACGACTTGGAATGTGGAGGCAGTGGAGTCGTGCGTGAGTTTGTGGTTTGTAGAGAGTAGGGTTTGCATTTATATACAGTCATACTAATGCTATTATTATAGGTTGGCCGGCTGAGTCAGGTAGATATAATGGGAGGACTTTGTTTTGGTTTGAATAGAAAAGTAGTGTAAAGTCCAATAATCAATTCAATTGTGTGTTTTTTCCCTCTTTTTTTTTTAGCGGGTAATCGGTTCGGTTTCGATTCGACAGCGTAAATACCATACCCGTACCACCACCAACCGGTTCATTAAAATCAAACAATATCCGCCCCATTGCACCATCGGTTCGGTTAACCGCGGTTTTCGATTTTGATGGTTCAAATTGCCATCCTTAAGTGTGAACATTGTTATAAATACTACGTTATGTACAAGTAGCATATTTCAAAATGAAAAGACATTGTGTAGGTTGGATTTATAAAATTTTCTTTTTATTTTATGGAAAAAGATATGGGGATGCATAGAAGAGAAAAAGAGAAGATAATTTGTTACTATTCATGCTATGTTGAAACTTGACCAAATTTAACAAAATAATTAAACCAAGTTTCGAACTAAGGAAATATAGTAGTTTTTCCGATCAAAATTTTGACTTCTTAATCCTTATGTACAAAGGAAGATGATGCCAAAAGCTTCATATGAGACGTTTTCAATTTCCATAGAGCAATTTATACATATCGACCCGTCAACGTTTCGTATTATAACCAAATCGAACCGAATTGTGACATTAATGTCGAAATAATTATCAAGACTAATGTTATCTAAAATTACTAGTACTACAATACCAATTTGCATGAGCATTATATGATAAATTCGATTAAATGTAAATTTATGTGATTTATTTAATTGTATATCTCATTTAATGTCACATAACATCGAGATTTTAACCCCAAAAGTGCTAAACGTGCTCATTATTTATTTAATTACAGGGTATGTTTAATACTAATTGATACGTATAAAACTTGTGGAAACATGTATGAAATGAACCAGAACCAGTGCCTTTGAATTTGATATGTCCAGAACCGGAACAACGCGTTTGAATTTATTTGATATGAAAATGGACTGTCTCATTATTTACCTTACTATAAATCTCATTAAAAAAATATATATTCAATTACATATTATTGGAAAAAAATATATATATATATATATATATATATATGTAAGCTAAACTTAAAACATTACATTGTTTAGTATCTCGTAATACTATACAGCATACAAGATATATCCTCATAACAATATAAAACAAAAATTTACACACATTCAATTATTAACATCTTCGTCCTCCCTAGAAACACTAGCCAGGAAGCCAGACACCACCACTCACAACTACTACCATCCACCTCCCTCCATGAGAACACAAAAAATCGCGTGTTTTCAATAGAAAATCAAGAAATGAAATCTCATTCTACTGGTGATTTGGTGGCCTTTGACAAAGGTTAGGCCGGCTGGTAATCAAAGTGGTGGGTGACAAGTCGTGGCATTAGAAGGCTAAGGAAGATAAGATGATGATAGTCAGGTTTAATCAGCCGTAATGTAATAACTCCTCCCATCAGAGAAATAATCTTACAGTCTCTTTCTAGCCAAACCCGAAGGAGCCCCCCAACCACCACCCCGCCCCAGTATCTTCCGTATGCTGTCAGTATGGAAAAGATATTTATATAACTCATCTTTCAAGCGCCAAGTTAAGAGGCCCATAATGGTCAAGAGGACTATCAGATCGTGTTCCGAATTACCTCAAATAAAGAGGCATGTACGTTTAGTAAACCATATCAAACTTTCTTCACATCCGATGATAGAAGGCCCATCTGCTCCGTAAGCTGTTCCATGTGTACAGATTTTCCCCACAGGTTTTCCAACGGCTTTATTTCATTTTCTTTGGAAGTGTCATCTGTTAGTGTGGAGTCCATCGCCTCAGTCTCCACAAAATGTGGGCTCTCAAGAAACATTTCCCAGAAGGGATCACTCACCCCAGGAAGTTCTTGTATCTCATCCATCAAGGAGTTATCCCATTCCGTCTCAGGATCAGAAAAAATTCCAGAAAAAATTCCACCCAATTCCAGAGAAATTTTGTCCTGCCCTGCTAATGAACTTGGATTTGGATCCATGAAAGCACCACTCTCCGTTGCAGATCCCACGACGTCAACGTTGGTTTCTGGCACAATTTGAGAGAGCTCGTGCATTAAAGCATCTGTTGTTGGAAGTGTCGCTGGAGGCACTTCTTGAGTTCCAATCAGCTGATTTACGTCCAAAAGTTGATTAGCCGCAAGTACAGAAGTTGCACCAAGGGGAGTTGATGAAGGAATTTTAGAAATTGCTCCTGAAGAACTGAGCCCAGTAACTGTGGAACCCGATGAGATGAATGATTGCCCAGAAGTAGGAGGTACCTCTTGAAGAGTCACTCCTGAAACATGGTTCAAAGAACTGTCAGGGTCTAACGCATTAGATGTTGATGAAGCATCGCCAATCAGGAAACTATCAGGATTATTGTTCAAGTTTTCAAGCCTAGGAGGAGAATTCAATTTTAAGATCTGCCTTAGCATTGCTTTTGATGCTTCATTCATCAAAGGTTGATACTTCACAATCTGACCATCTGAGGGACCAACAGAACTGTCACTTGAAATGCCATCCTGCTGCGTAAGTCTTTGTTTTTTGTTGCCTTCTGATATGCGTCGGTTGCTCTCATTTTGCTGCTGCATAAATTGTGCCAGAAACCCAGGGCTATTCATGGCCTTTGCCAGGAATGACATCATCTGTTGCTGGCGCTGTTCCATGCCCTGAAGACGTTGAATCATTGCTTGCAACTGACCATCAGTAGTTTGCTGCTGCTGCCTTAACCGGACAAGTTCCTGCATTAACGCATTCTTGTCCCTTTTGAGCCTCTCAACTTCCTCTTCAAGTCCAAATTTCCCAACCTCTACACATGCCCCAACCGAAGAACTCTGTCCATGTGATTGTTGCTGCTGCTGCTGATGGTGTCCATGTGCAGGTTTTCGACGACTAATACTTTTAAGAAGATGTTTTTTCCCTCTCAGGAATCCCTCATTTGCAAACTCCCAGCGGTCTGGATCAACCTTTCTAAATCCCTGTTTGTCAATGACCCCATAAAGGCAGAAAAATGGAATGGTCAAAAGTTAACCATCATGTCACATTTTATAACGCAATAAATAAATGGAAAGATATAGAAAAGTAATATCAACGAAACATTTCACATACAAGAGAGCATTCATTTGGCAATGCAAAAAGAGTAAGCAGTTAAACATAGCCCACATTTCATGGTACCACCTTTATATCCCAAAAAACCTATTTTAATGATACCACAAAAATACATTTAAAAGTTTGATTAGTTGGCTATAGCTTTCATTTCAAAGCATCTAGGAGATATTCAACAAGGCAAAAAAAGAAAAAAAAGAAAAACAAGTATTAGATTCTTTCACTCGGTTCCCATTACACAAGAAATTTCAACCGGTCTTCAGTTAGCAGATAATATCGCAGTAAAACAAGATTAGAATTTGCATCCTCCACAGATTTACCATCAGCTAATTAGTGAGTGGTGACTGAACATATGCTAATTGTTCCTCAGTGCTGTGCCCTCTTCTCTATTAATCAAGCTGATGCAGAAACACTAGTTTACAACCCAAAGACCTCACACTGATTCCTTCTGAAATGGAGCAATGGAAACATGAATAACAGTATATTTCACAATTTTGTATTAAATTCAGTTTTTAGTTAAGATCCTGTGCGAATTTGTACAGTGTAGGCACAGATCATGTATCCATGGCTAGTATTGAACTTGAAGAAAGCCAAAGTTTGACAAAATTCCACAATAAAAATCCATCACGATTTTCCATAGGCCACAAGAAAATGCGAAGCACACAACTAAGAGCAAGTTTGGCTAAGTCAAGAATATATGTAAGTTTACACAGAAGTAGTTTCTGAATCAAAGGAAACATGTTTGTGGCTTTAAAAGTTACATATAAGTAATTTTCTTATCCACTTTTTTAAAAAAAGTTGCCCTTTTAATTTTATTTTATAAATTTACAAAAAAATTAGCTAATCTAAAAGAGCAACTAGAATACAACTAGCCATGTTAGCTTTGGTCCATCCCTCCCTAATCTGACTAATTCCTCCGAGATCATGAAACAATCATGAACATGAGCTTCTTTAAGTATACATAAAACCTGTCCTACCTAATTCGTCTGTTCTTTACTTAATCTTCAATCAACACTACCTCAACTTCCTGAAGTATTTTTAGTTTTTTTTTTTTTTTTTTTTTTTTTTTTTTTTTTTTTTTTTTTTTCCAAAAAAAAACAAAACTTTTTTTTTTTTTTTTTTTATAAATTTTGATTTTTGTTGGTGAAATCTTTTAAGTGGATAATAAATCCACACTTCGAGCAACGGCAACACCTATTGTTTTCTTACATTAATGTTTTTCAGATGCATATTTCTCTTTTCTTTCTAAATAAATAAATGCTTGTTACACAGATGTTTTAAAATTTCTTTTCTATTTTCTATTATATGGTCCAAGTGCCCCCACCCACTTGCAATTAATTTTATGACCATGGGTGTGTGGACCAGCTCAGTCTCCCACGGCCTGAAGTATTTTTAGTTTTCAAAATGCAAAAACCTAAATTTGTTATCTCTTCAGCCAATCAAAGTCTCAATCACAGAAGATTCACCAAGAGCTATTACTTGGCTTGTTACATGTCCTCCAAAGAAAATAAAAAATAATCAACCTAGAATTGCGAAAGCAAACTGAAAAAAGAGACAAAAATAGTTAACAAGAAAGCGCATACATAAGTGTTGAGCTGGCGGACAAAGCTGGAAAAATTGTTGTGTTTGAAATATTTGGGCAGCAAATATCTCGCGAATTCAGCCGAGTCCCACACCACAAAGCTGTTGTTAGTCCGGCTCCACGACACGATCTTATCGGTGCTTGGGTCATCTACCATGTCGTAAGTCTTCACCAGGAAAGGCGGTGGCGCGTTCGCTACCGGTAAAGGCGCCGGCTGTGGAGGCGCTCCTCCGCTATCTCCCGTGGAAGCTGGAGCCTTTCCGCCGTTCGAAGATGCGGACGTTTCCATCTTATATACAAAATATAAACACGGTCATCAAAAAATACGATACTGTTGCAATTACAAGTAGATTTTAGGGTTTTCTGAGGGCTCTGAATTGAGAACCCTGGGATTTGGGGACAAATTGGGCGCACGAAATTGCTAATCTTTGAAAAAAAAAGAATGAGTGAGTGGCTGTACGGTCACGGGAGAGGCAACGGTGGTCTCAAATGTCGATTTTGTTCGTAGTGACGATAGCGGAGGCGAGAATGACGCCATTGTTACGGGTAATTACGCAACTGAAAATTACAGTTTGTACCCTCGAACTTTGTAAAACGTGACATTTATATCATAATTTAATTGGCAATTGACACATAACGTCCCTACTCTTTTCCTATTTTGCCTTATTAGTTATTTCACCATCAGATTAAAAATTGTACAAATCGTCCATGGCCTCCTTTAAAGTCATGTAAAATGACGAATGTATCATTCTCTTAAAATAAAGAAAAATAAAGAAATAAGAGTATGTTTGATTGGTATGAAAAATATTACCTAAAAAAGAAAATATTTTCCATCTTTTGTAGAAAATAAAAACTACATCTACTCAAGGAAAATGTTTTTCTTAAAAACAAGGAAAATTAGGCATATTTTCAAAAGTTGGAAAATGTTTTCCATAAAAAAAATGGCAATCAAACACTCTAAGTAAGAATTTGACTGGAAAACTGATATTTTCCATGAAAAATAAATGTAATCAAACACACCCTAATTTCAGGATCATAAGCATGTAGAGAGTGTTTCCTTCATGCGTACATAAATTTTAAAAATAAAAATTCAATCGAAGTTATTATAATATTATAGAGGAAAAACTAAAGATGGCAAAAAAAATTAATTTTTGTGTTATATTGGTACTACTAATTTTTTTGTTACATGCACCAAAAAATTTCAAGTTTTAATCATTATAGCATTTATATTTTTAACTTTATTTCATCGCATTCTTTTCTTCAATCGTCCATTATTTAACATATAGTCTTTGATGACAATTTTATTCAAATATTCTACAAGCATACTGTGAAACGAAAAAATATATATATATTTTATAAAACTTTTGTAATTTTTTTGTTTATTAAAAATATGACAGGTAAATAAATATTTTTACACCATTCTGGTGACAGAAGCCTTCATTAAGGTCTAGACATGCTAACCAATATGAGATCGAAAACATAAGTACGACAATGATCAAATGTTGTGATGCAAATATAATCTTCCTTTGATTTAGCCATATTTGACTATTGTTTATCTATATATTTTATGGGGCCCACATGTACTACACACGATGATGTACTTATGTTTAGCTGAAAGAAAATAATTGTCTTTGCTCAATCTCATTATAAAAGCCTAAAAGAGAAACTTACACGTATAAATATGTTTCTAAATACAAATTCAGGGAAGAGATTTGAATCAAATGCCCCTCATAAATCAAATTTTCATTCCACAAAGTCGAGGAAAATTATAAAATGAAACCAACACGTAGGATCTCCATTCACATTATTTGCAACACTGGATCTACACATTGAACAATCTATACCTCAATATATGTCACTGCCAAAGGTTGAAAGCAAAATCATCTCCTACTGGCATTGCCATGTCGTTGGTTCCTAAAGTACCTAAGAAGTTCTTGAGCCTGCAAGAGTCAGTAATCAGTAAGTATGTAATCTTAAATTTACAGAAAGGCGAAAGTAACGTTGAAGTTGAAACTACACCTTTTCTCTGGCTCTAGGCGTCCCAGATTGTGACAGCGCCACTAATGGAGGAACGGCTCCTTCCTGGAGAACCATATTGCAAAATCTACCGCTATTAGTGCTCAATTGCAGGAGTGCAGCAGCTGCATTCTCCTTTCCTCTACCAGAGCCCAGCTCGGCCACTTCAACCAGGACAGGGATTCCTCCTTCCTGACCAATTGCTATTCGTCCCTCATGAATAGTAGAAAGATTAGATAAAACAGCGACTGCCTTATCAACCATTCCAGCAGCGGGGTCCATCAACTCAATGAGGTACTTCACTGCGCCTGCCTGCACAATACGGGCCTTGTTCTCGTGAAATATTGATAAGTTAAACAAAGCTGTGGCGGCATCTTTCTTGCCTCTTGGAGTTCCATTTCCCAATAGATCAACAAGGGGTTTGATTGCTCCGGACCTGCCAATCTTGATTTTGTTTTCTTCAATCACCGAGAGACTAAAAAGAGTAGCAGCTGAGTTTTCCTTGGCTTCAGGGCTGCCTGTCTCAAGGACATGTATCAGAGGTCCAATTGCATCAGCATTTGCAATTGCATTCTTGTTGTTATCATTAATCGATAAGTTGAGAATAGCAGTAACAGCATTTTCTTGTATTTTTAAGTCAGATGAAAGGAGTAGATTGACTAATAAGCTGATGGCCCCACATTTTGCAATGACAATTCGATTATCCATATTATGCTTAGCAAGTAACCGAAGTTCAGCTGTGGCATTTCTCTGTATATCAAGGGAAGCAGTTTTCAGGTCCTCAACCAGCTTCTTAACTTGTGTTTCAACTTCCAAAAGATCAGCCCTTAATTCAACTGCAGAAGAACAAACTACTCTTGGAACAAATCTCTCCGATGGTCGACGGAAAACTGTTGGGACACGAGATCTTGTTTCTTGCCGAGATGGGAAGTCGGGCTCTCTGTGTAGGGCACTCGCGTAAGCAGCCAGTTGAGGTTCTGATGTAAGCACTCCAGAAGCATCATTAACATAGGCAGCAGCATCTGATGCCACCTCATTTCCGTCACCAGGTGTTTCTGAAACATTATAATTAGAAAGGGTGCTGGAGACAGAATTTGTTCGGGTATGGCCCGGAGATAACTGCTCATCAGCACCAACAGCACTATTTCCAGATGAGGACACCAAGAGTGGACATTCCGAGTTCAAACTTCTCTCTCCTGAGTGGCCCAACCTGTCATCAAAACTTTTCGAGGAAATTCTCTCAACGTCTAAACCATTCCCATGTATAGCTCTTAGTGAAGAATCCTCTGACAACGAACGAGGATGGTTCAGATGTGATGCCTCTCGTTGAGTCCCACTATATGAGATTGAATTCTTTCTTGGAGAACCCAAAGACATAGTTGGATCTGGAGACGGAGAATGATTGGCTCTCCCTCCTCCACCAGACTCCACATTCGCAAGAAGTGAAGAAGGCTGATTCAAGCTAATAGATTTTACAGGATCAGGCAGCTTCACGTTGTTCAATTCACACCAATTTGCAATCAGCGCTTTTACAGTGTAATTAGGAATAAGATTGGTGTGTGCTAGAGTTTGCCTTGTCTTGGGGCAAACAGTGAGTCCAAGATCAATCCAGTTCCGTATAAAAGCCCGCTCATATGTTTGTCCAGATGCAACAATTACAGGATCTGTCATGAGTTCAAGTGAGAGAGGGCAACAGAAATCAGCGGGTATTGCCACAGGATTACAGGTCTCGGACTGTTTCAACATAACAAGCAGATCGTGCATATGGATTATTAAAGCAATCATTTGATCAATATATTCAACTTCGCCAGTTTTTTCAGCTTGTTCAGCATTTTCTTTCAGTTTCTCAAGGGCCACAGCCTCAATTAGAAGTTCCTGGTTTGACTTTAATCCCAGGCTGTCAGAAATTTTTGCCAGGCTCTCAGAGCTGGCTCCCAAGCCCTCCACATGATCCTTAACAGCTTTTGAGATTATTTCTGATTTTTGGCCACATCCCATGTTCTTAATTTTCAGTACACAGTTCTGTATCCGTAGTGATAAAAAAAAGATATCAAACAAAGAGTATTCAATTCTTAACAAATTTTTCTTAAGACAAAAAAATGAGCAACAACAAAAATAAATTGATAGCCTTTACCTCAAGGGATGCAGAACTTAATTCAGCAGGTAAGCATTGCTCACAAATATTCAGCAATTCAAGAATTTCCAAACTAGAAGTCTGGATCTTTTCCATCAGCGACTCAACTTGTAAAACCTGGATATGATGCAAATATCAGCTAGATGGGAATTATTTAGCAAGTATGTAAGATGTTTCAACCAAGTCAGCATAAGTTCAAATAATTAAAACATCAAAAAGTGAAATAACCATCCTTTCAACTTCAATGTTATAACTTCCACTATAAGGCTGCATGAGAAAGAACTGTGAATTACAAATATCATCATATAGCTCATATCACATACAAAGTAAACTTTACTCATCAGTAGCTGCCAGTTTTCAAACGTCTCTCTCAAATCATCGATGGACTGGCATAGTCCAGTGAATTCTTTCTGAAGTAATTCGTCAGAAGGGATTTCAACATCAAGAATGGCATCAAGAATTGGCTTTAATAACTTCAACATATCTTCAATCGTTTGATGATATTCCTGAACTGGTTCACATTTTATGCTTTCACAAGATGCCAATTTAAAAACACTAGTTATGCTGTTGAGAAGAGATTTTAGCAACGGTATCTCCATCACCTGGTACATCAAATAAATTCTCATATCAATAAACCAACCATAGAAGAACTCATAATATATAATGACAAAAAATATAAAGGCAGTTGTGACCATGGAGAGCATATATGCCAAAGATTCTGCAAAATATCCAATGCGTAAGGCAAAAAGTAAAATCGAGTGTCTATTATGCAGAAAAGATGCAGTTATGTGTATACCTGGGAAAATATGAGGATAATCTCTTAGTTCAACACGAGAGCCAAATATAAACCTTTTTTTTTTTTGGAAAGGTAATTAAATATTTTATTAATCAATGCATAATACACAGGAAGTGTATTATCAATTTAAAGCAGAAATGAATAACATAAAATTGGACAGCCATCTATATGCCTAGTAGCTGCAGCATTAAACCACGTATACAATGTGAAATAAAACAATTCTCTAATTTGCTCTGCTGTCCATGTAAGAGCCAAATATAAACCGGGCTTTTGCTTTCATGATATAAACCATAAAAGATAGATTAAGTTGCAGGACACTGAAGCCAATTTCCAAGTATGCGTGTTCTTAAATTAAGGTATCATCAACGGCAACAAACAATTAAAAAGTGAGAATGTAGTGATTAAAATGCATAAGCTTAGGGCTTGCAATTGCAGTTAAGTGAAAGGAGGGCACACTTTATTCATAACAAGTAAAACAAAGCTATAGGTAATAAATGTCCTTGTAAACAAAAGCAAAAAATAGCTATCAATGCAAATTTTACATTGACAATGAGATCAGGGAATTTTGTTCCATTACGATACAAGAAGCAAGGTATATTAATTCTTTGTATTACCCAAAAGAACACAATCATATCATCCATAACCTAGTTAATAATCAATACCATTTTTCCCCCAGAAGTGTGGTGGTAGGGTTATAAAATAAAGAAATGAATATTAAAGATGAATGTCAAAATTGAAAGAATCCCAACCTTTTTCCGTTACAAAACAATGATTTCATTTAAGGAGCATGAACCAAAAACTGGAAGAAGAAGAAGAAGAAATATCCAACTAATAATTGTTCTTCATTTTAATATTATTCAAATTGGGCTAGAATTACAAAAGTAAGCAGCAAATTAAATCATCTTTTAGCCCAATTAAAGTATACCTTAGACCCTCTAAAGAACATAGGTAAGTTACGATGCAAGCCAGCTGGTACACTAATAGATATTAGTCACATGATTGAAAAACAAACAGAATCTACAGCAGGGAATTAGGATAGATATCCAGAAGCTTGTTGGCAAAACTTCTACTTGCTAGTAGCTACATACTAGACCTGGTATTTAATTCACTGAAAATGTAGTTATTTAGTTCATGCATGCTCCAAATGAGGAACACATGAATGTTATAGTAAGAAATTTGAGGTACTTGAAGAGACCTGTTGGCAAAGCATTTTTGTTCACGATTATAGGCATCTAAAGGTTGAAGCTTATTGACAGCTTCTATGATTAATTAGTTATAGAAGGTTGACCATTAGGCACTAGTTATTGTACCTTTATTGGAAATAACTAGGTGGAAAACAAGTTTTAGCTAGATCAAGTGCAAAAGCAGAATTTAATAAATGCCGAAATCTATTTGTGAAGTAATTTGGCTAAGATCCCTAGTGAAGGAACTTAAGTAGACAAGATTGCGACTACAAGACTGTCTGTGATAATAAAGCAGCTAAAATGTAGCTTAAAACCCTATTGAGCATGATAGAACTAAGCGTATTACTATTGATCTCATCAAAAGAACAATTAGCATATGTTTACTGAAGGACTATAAAAGCAGTTATTTCAACCCATAATCAGCAAGCCAAAAATGACAAAAAATTTGAATCAGTACTCCCAGCTTGAAGAGGATGTTGAGAATATTATGTATGTACTCAGCCATAAATTAGGATTACTTTTATTTTCCAGATTATAACTATGATCAGATTGTTATTAGCCTAGTCTCCTTGCTTAGATATATTCCTTAATTAAATAATTAGATTTAATAGTTTTACATAAAGATGGTGTACGTAGTGAGACCTTTAAGCAACCCACACAATTCGTTCATAAAGCGAAAACTGAGAAAGCACAAGTCGCATTTTTCTTGAACCAGTTTTTGTTTTTGCAGCATGCCTTTTGGGTAGGTTTACACTGAAAGGTTCAAAATGCATTAAACAATTTTCACTTCTTGGGGTTTTATTATTTCTCACATAATTATTTTCTGTCATTATTAGTCACCATAGAATAATTCCTTAGGTTGTGAACGCTATTGGGCACTAGGAAAGTGTGTTCCTATAGAACAAAACAGTTTGAAACATATAATCTTATAATTTTTTTCCCCTATGTACACCATTACATTCATAACATCCCATAACCCAAAGTTGCAAAAATTTCTCACATGCCAAAAAGAATTAACAATTTCATCTTCAGGTGCTAAAACGGCCTGCTTTACATCGTTGTGGTAATTTATTCACAATTTTCTGATGTTCTAAGTTGAAGGGAGGTTATAACCAATGAAAGGGGCGAGATATAGATGGGATTGGTGATGGATTCTTTATTTTGCAAGCAAGAGTCATGGTAGATAGCTTTATAACTAATAAGAATCGCGTAGGTTTTTAATGGACCAAAACTTTACTTCCCAGGACCAATTACCACACACAGCCAACAACATATATTCGATGAAAATGAATGCAAGAAAAAAATGATAAAGGGAAGTAAGTTTGACGTAAGTTGATATAGTTACACATTATTTAACCAGATTAAGATCAACGCTGAAAAGTGGGAACTTTTTTAGTATTAAATAACTTGATTCCACACATATAACAATTGTAACAACTCATCTGAATAAATGGTGACCATAAATGCCCACAAAACAATAAGGAATTTCAGCATATATATTCATGTGCAAATATTGATAATTATTGGTTTGAAAGCACACGGACCTTACCAGCTTGAAATGGCAGTTCTGATTTCCCTAGCAATTCATCTCACACTGCTGATCCTTGAGAAACAACCCGAATCATACAACAGGAGAATATCCTTTTCAATTATCCTTCCTTGCCCTGAAGTTTTGTTCAGAAGAGGAGCAGTTAGAGTGGATGATCCATATATATGTGTGTGCTTTAAGACTTATGGAAAAATTAATTTTGTTTTAAAACACAAGCTATGTTTATCTAGTGGAAAATTTGATGTATCACAAGAGAAAAAGCTCAAAAGCCAAAATCCAAAATCCAAATGAAGGCTTAATGAATAACAGGAAAAAAATTAAGCTCCAAAATCTAAGAGAGGCTCCTAGGTATGTTGCACAATACCGCTATATATAACTTCTATGAATGTGCAAAGGAACAGCCTATAATCTAAATATGGTCTAGTATCCACATAATAGAAAGAACAGCTGAAGCTGTAAACAACGATCAACAATTGAGTCACACAGAGATAACTTCATAAAGTCAACACTCAACGGTAGTTACAGCAGAAAGACAAGCCTAGTAATAAAATCGTGTCCTCATAAACTAACCGAACCTAGCAGCATAGAACAAATTCTACAACATCATGCAATAAATGCAGACATTTGTAGTCGAGAAAAGAAGACCAACCAAACCAACATCCACATAAGGATTCGAACAACTACGTTGCTTGGTTCTTAAAAGAGAAACTCAGTAAAATTCCATAAAAGAGATGAGTAGTATGGATAAAATGTTGACTCGCTGTAAAATCTTTTGTTGTAGAAAGAATGAGGTAATCCAGTTAGCTAAAGCTATAGTAGCATTTATTTTGAAGGTACTTAAAGAGAACAGTTTTTTTTTTTTTTTTTTATCAACTAAATGTCCAAAACCTAATTAAGTTTTTGTTAATTAATCAATGTATAAAAGCATTTTACTTCTATATAGTGATCCAAGCCCAGTGCCAGTATTTTAAAAGAATCGTTTACGATTCTATTCATTATCTCTTCAATCACTTATTGGTTGCCTATATTTAAATAAAATGTACTGCATCTCATACCTGAGTTACAGTCTAAAGTAGACTGAAGTATGAAAAGAAGAAAATCTACTTGATCCTCCTTAAAAACCAAGGGCAGAAAAGTAGTAGTTGTAACAAACTCTAAAATTCTCAAGGGAACAACAAACAAAAGGCGATTTTTCTTAGCAAATCCAGCAAAAGGTCCTACTAACCAAAATACTAGAGCACAAATAATAACTCGTGAAAAGTAACTAGTTTCCTTATCCGGCTTTTGCTGTCTCAAGATTTCTAAGGATACATGTTAATAAAGACATCAATGTTCACATAATCTCAATTCTATCAATGATAAATAAATAAAAAAGGACGGAGATCATGATATTATAATGAAAGACAAAGTTTCACATGATTTTCTTTGTATCTGGTATGTAAATTTTAGCTCACAAAAGTTGATTTCTTCTAGTAAGTAGTAAACAGGAGTTAGCATTTACTACCCACAGAGAATGACTACTTATGATAGATTTTGAAATGTCAATTTAAGCAAGAACCTAACAAAATGCCTTTTAGTTTCTGGTCATTCAGCTCTCGAGAAATGAAGAAAGCAGTTCACTCCTCATAATCTGAAGTAGCACAGAATTAAATGTTCCTTTTTCATTCTCCTTTTACATTTCTTAGAAAAGTAACAGGTTAGAGGTTACTTGTACCCTCTCTCTAACCCAAATCAATAAAGGAAGAAATAAAAGTAACGCCACAGTTATTAGTATAACTTTCTGAAGTTTATTCCACAGAACGGGAAGAAACCTCAAACCAAAGCAGCGAATCCAGCAATGCAGTATTTGACATCATGGTCCATATCATACCGTATGAATTTACATAAAGTCAAATATTAATATATGTTGCCAAAAATTATGAACAAATAATATTTCCATTAACAACAATGTAGCAATAAAATTTACTCACACGAAACACAGCAAAGTAACTTGTACTGACACAGGAATGAGGAAAAAACACATCCATCGTACTTGGATTTCATAGGTCGAATTTCAATGATGAACATTTGACTCAAATTTAAAGCAATTGTAGCAAGTAAAATGAGTACATGGAACAACTACGAAATTAGAAAATATGCTATATTTGATTAAAAGGAAAAAACGATTCCATTATAAGTAGCAATGCATTTAAAAGATGATCCCAACTAGCCAATAATCTTTGTCAGTGGAACCCATCACTTCTTCTACCAAAAAAGTTAAACTTAGAAATACCACTACCATGCATAACTAAATCCAATTTGATATCTTCCCACAACTTTAAATCCAACTGGAGCGAAAAAACTAGATTCTGACGAGAACCCTAAAACCGAACAGGTTCCCTACAAACGCAGGAAGGACAAGGATCATTCTCCTTTTAACAACTAGGCTTGTTGATTTTTTTATATATAATCATTTCCAACATTCCAATTAATATAAATGATAGGATTTCATCTTTCCTCAACTCATATACAAAATGACATATAGAATTGGCATGAACAGTCAACTTATAATTACAACTAAGATAAATGAAGCAGAAAACCCTAAACAGAGAATAATCAACCAACCCAGCAATGAAATTGGAATAATACACAAGAAAATAATTCTTACCACAAAGAATGATGAAAAGGGTCTCCTTTTGTTGTGCGTTCTGGGGATTTTATAGGGCTAAACCTTCCAAAAATTCCCCCTCTGCACCGTGCAGGTGTCTTTCTCCTTTCCGGCTCTTTCTTAAAATTATTAAAGAATTTCGTAAATGAACTGATGTTATGTACTAGCGGGTCTTCGTCTATTGAGTTCTCTTCTTGGCTTCGCAGAATCCCCACCTAACACTCACATAGGCCATGGGTGGGCCTCAGGTGACTAAAAAATTGGAGAAAATACCCAATTCACCCAACCCATGTGATTATAATTATTCTGTGAACAATTTGTCCGTAGAAACATTTTTATGAGAAATTTCACTGTTGGTCCCTAACTTACTTCATTAGCAGCACCATGCGTGGATTTTTAAATTTGTAACGAGCCAGTCCCTTTTCATACACCAAAAAAAAAGAAAGAAAAAAACAGTTCTTCTCTAATTTTTAATTGACAAAAAAATCTAAAATATTTTTTATATTAAAAATATTTATATTTGCATCATATTTTTTATTTATTGTATTTAGGGGTGGCAAAAGAACTCGATGTCCACAAGCCCCACGTCGAATGGGATAGGGATTCTCAATATAATCGAGATGAATAATGTTGTGACCCTCTAAAGTGGGCATGAAAAATACGGTTCCTACAACTTAAAACCTAAATAAAAGGGAGAACAAGCCAAGCAGCTATTCTTAGACAATTTTTCTAAATTATTTTTTTGTTAACAAATAAAATAATAGTCTATGTCCTTGTTTGATCATTATAATTTTCAAAATAAACTTTTCTCACTCTCTCTTCTTTTGAATTACACATTTTTTAGTAAAACAATATTATACATTAATTTAAATTTTTTCTTATTTTTTAATTACGCATTCTTCATTAATCTACTATTTTAAAATATATTCTTAAAAAAAATGAGGCTCAAACAAGCTCTATATACATTTTTACATCCCATTTTAGCGTCTGATTTGACTTCTTCTTTTTTTTAACAACTTACCGTAAACATTTTCTTCCTCAAAAACTAGTAGAAAAATAGATAACCATACCTAAATTTAAAATCTAGCAAATACCATCATAATTAGTCTACCTCAACCTATAGGAACAGTTACTTGCTTAAAACCCCTATTGGGTCTTCTTACTTGGCTAAGCTCTCGTTTGAGCCCCATTATTTTTCATTATATTAAATTAAATTTTTCTCTCTCCTATTTTTAACCACACAATCTTTAATAAAATAATATTACACGTAAATCAAAAACTTTTCAACTACTCATTTTTCAAAAAAATACTATTCATCTCATTATAATCTACAAATAATGGGGCTCAAATGGCCCCTAAGTTGGTAGATGTTGTTTATATCCCTGTACATTGAAAAACGTTTAGTGATTCTTTGGTACTATGGAATTAAAAGGAAAGATAAAAAATAAAACGAAATAAAAATAATAATTGGATGCCTGAGCGAATTTTTAATGTAAGAGTGCTATAACGCTTATACAAATTTTCAAATGAATTTTTTAGCGGAAGGGGGGATAGCTCTATAGCTGTCCGAGTTAATGTTTCTCTGCACTAAATTTTAGTGAAAAGTACAAAGCCTATTCTTCAACAACCTGAACTAAGGTTGTAGGAACTATAACATTTAGACTCCATTTGATTCTCATTTTTATCAAAATGTATTTTTCTCTCTATTTTTTTAACCACACATTATTCGTTAAAATAATATTACACGTAAATCAAAAATTATTATTTATTTTTCATCCACACATTTTCCATCAATCTACTACTCTAAAATTCATTTTTCCAACAAAATGGGTATAAACACCCTCTTAAATGAATTTTCAAATGAAATTTCGGCAAAAAGAATATAGTTCTTCAAAGTTCAAGCTTAGGTTGCAAGGGTTGCAACACTTAGTCAATTTTCTATGAGAAATTTCAACATTGTGAGGAATTTCAAGAAACTGACTAAAGCAGTCCAAGCTATTTTAATAATTTCCTCATAGAAATTTCCTAGATTCGACTCATTAATAAGTGTTCGTACAAAATTCTCAAGCGTACGAGATCATTATACAGGTAATAAGATTTGTGAGTTAAGAGTATTGTTCTCACGAGGAATAAGGTCCAATTTATAGTTCAATAGTTGCTATTAAATTCGAAGTTTGGTGATATCATGAAAATTGTGATTTATATGTTCTCTAGACTTGACTTAAACTAACAAAGCAAATAAACTATTTATTTAATATGTGAGTGTTTATACTGGAATCGTGAATTCCTCTATTGCCATTTAATTCAATTTTTAATTTATAATTTAGTAAATCATGCATACAAGACAATTGACAATCCACTTTTATTCAATATTATTTTCCAATACATATTAAACATATGTTTATCACGACTTGATCATAATCCTAGTACGAATTCATATGGAAAACATGCATTAATTCACAGAATTTATCACACATGATTGCATATGTCATAGATATTATTCCTAATACCAATTGTCTATATGTTGATTTTACCGCATTCTAAACTTATTGTGAGTATATCCTACACTACAACAAGCAACTTACTTTCTAATTAGTGATCAACCAATTAAATAGTTCAATGGAAATGCAAAATCAATCAAGAAAAATCTTGAAATACCAAATTAACTGTCTTGAATTAAAATTAACAAACAATACGGCTCATCGTTCATTCAATACAATGAAAAACTTAGCACCATCCTAATTCTTAAATTATATAAGAAAATAATGAAAAGACATCACCTGTATCAAAGAAATATGGAAGAAAGTAGAAAGACCAACTTTCTTGAATAAAATCTTGATTTTTTATGGATAATCTTCAAGAAGTTTGCACAATTCCCCAGATGTTGATGATGTAGCCTTGTTCTCCACCTCCTAAAATATGTTGAATCTATGAATTTTTAGGTATAAGGAAGGTTCCCAATGATATGGGCGTGTTCTCCTATTTATATGATGTCAAAGAGATTCTTTACCAAAATAAAATAAGGAAACCTAATTTTTCTGCGTTTAACATTGACGTACGCACCTGGGAGCCTTAGGATGCCCCCAATCACCTCCTTTTTGGTTGGGGGTATGTGCTTCTCTTACAGGCAAGGGTGCGCGCCTTGACTAAGTTCCAGGAGTCTAATAGTTTTCAGTATTTTTGTCGTAAATTTATCTCCTGATATTCAATTAAGGTGATTCAAAGCATTGGAAAGCTTAATCAGGGCTACAATTCTTCTTGAGATATCATTTTTCTAATTCGAAAGTTTGTTATGCCAAAATTAGATCTCAATACGAGACTAAAAATTTGAAGCATAACTTTTTCGACTGAAAGTTGTTCTATGATAATATTTTGATTATAATTCATCCCTTTGACTTCTTTCGTCATCTAATTGGCCCCGGACACTCTCAAATTTTCATGGTGTGGTCAGAATTTTTTTAAGTATTTGCATTTTAGTCCTCAAACTTTGGATTTGCTTCATTTTACCCATTTTTCGTTCTTTCTTCCAATTCTTCTTCGAAACATGAATTTTTCCTAATAAAAGTAATAAATAACAAATTAGGTACTAATCCGTCCAAGAATAATAAAATATCATCATTTAAGATCTCAAATAAATGTAGAAACTATACTTATCAATAAGTTCGCGCTACAAAGTTACGAAGAGGTAATAGATATACAAGATTTTCATTTCATTGATAAAAGTCTTCGAAATTATATTGTAGGGAATGAAATTTGTGTGAAAAAAGCAAAAACTAACATATGGCATCAAAAAGTTAAAAAGGAACATGTCAAGGATAGGGAAAATCATCTCGAGGAGCAAAGAGATCAACTTGGGGGATAAGGAGATCGTCGTGTTAAGCTAGAAGGTCATCTTGGGCAAAGGTATGATCATTATCAAAAGGTACTTGGGATGTACCAGCTCTAGCATATATTCCAGTAAAGCCTTCTGATACTCTAACACCTTGTAAAGGAAACCAATTTTGAGGTCAGGCACTTTTATCCCTATAAAGTTGATGATCTTATTAGAGTTGATAACATAGACCTCTCGGGAGACCTTCCATTCATCCACCACATTAATTGCTCTTGCCACTGCATGTTAGCTCAATTCTTATTCATCTCCACCTTCTTTATCTCATCTATAACATTGACCTTTGCCTACTCCAACTGATCCTGATGAACTCTTCCCTTGCTTGGCCTTAGCCTCCATACCTTCCCTCCCTAATTGAGCCTTAATCGTTGGCTCAAACTTTGACGAGCAATCAAAGTAGTTCTCTCTGTTGGGAATTGATTTAAACATGCACAGCGGAATTTAACAGATTTCAATTCCCATTCAGGATTCAGCTTTGTATTTAGATAAAAACTGTGATGAGAAATATACCTTTTGTGTGATTTGTAAACTCTTTCGCGTTATTCCTTTCCAGCAGCTTGAATCTGCCTCCCACGACTGTCCAATTGTGCAGCCTCCAATGAAATCCACACAGAGAGAAAACAGCAACTGCTAGGGTTTCTTTCTTGTACTAGCAAAAATAATGAATGACTTAATGGACCTCAAACCCTAGCTGCATATATATATAAACCCAAATGGACCCGGCCCGGTCCGGTCCAATATTTAATTAATCCAATTAATCAAACCCGGTCCGTGAATTAATTAATCTAATTAATTAATTCGGGATTATAAATAAGAAAATCAATTAATTAATTTATCCAACGATTGTTAAATTAATCAATTAACAATTTGCAGTCTTCCAATTCTCTTTTGTGTGCGACCCATTAGGTTCCCGACCACGATGCCTAACGTCGTGAAATATTATTTTGATCTACTCAAAATCGATAAATTAATATACCCTTTTAATTTATCGTCAATTCACATTCGCCGTCCCTGATTGACATCTAGCAATGTGTCAGGGCAATACATGTGACGGGAAATGTCACGTGGTATGACAAAACCAAAATCGTTCGTTTATCATGGAACTATTATCCCTTCGTCAATACGATCCGATCAATTACGAGATATGAAATTGTGTCAATCTCGATCATCGATCATATCTTTCATTCCACTATTAAGTCAATATAAATCGAAAACTCCTTTTCGACTTATGAGTACACCTTGGCCAAGGATTTCATCATCGACTTAATTGAATGAAACGCAGATCATCTCCTACTATCTAAGAGTGACGAATCCTTTATTGATCAATCACAACCTTCATACGATTCTTGACGTACCCGAACGATGTCGTATTAGCGGCCCTTTTCAGAGCAACATCCAACACCGCCAAAGTATGACTGTCCTCATATAGGGTACTATGACGACCTCAAGTCAAAGGATTAATCCCACTACCGAACGTTAGAGATTAGCCACTGACACTCAGATAGTTATCCATGTAGAATCTCTTAGCGGGTCTCCAATGTTTTGTTCTACAACAAAACATCCACATGTTCATTTAAGTGTCACCACACTTTAGCTCGTGAGATCAGCTACTTACTTCATAAGTAAGAAATGCCACACGTGATGGTCTAACTGTATTAACGATATCCGTATCTCGTTATTACTTACGACCATGGTTTATTCAAGATCCAATTATATGTAATTTGTATCTCACAATCACAACTCCTTGTGATTAACAGATTACCTAAAAATTGGGTCTTCGGATTCTATTATTTAATATTATTTATTACAAAATTAATTTAAATAAATAATAGATCTCGCCAAAATCAAATGCATTAAATATATTAAAAGCGTTTACAACCTAAATCGATTGGATCTAGGGCATAACACTTACACTCTCCTCAAACCATTCTAGCTCAGCCTCCTCATGACGAGCTCTCTCCTCTTCAATAGCTTAGAATACGAACATGGCATCATCCCTAACTTTTTAGATAGTTGTTACATTGAGCAGTTATCTAAGTGCAGTTTGGAGAAAAAGAAGAAGTCAAATAACTTGGCAGAAATATAGAACATCTCAAAAAGATCAAAGTAAAGAATTGTACCTTTTCTTAAAATCAAGTCATGTAGAAAATGAACGATGTGCATAAACGATCGATTGACTTCCAAAAAGTAGGATCATCATTACTCCAAACTGAAAAACAAAAGATCTGGAGTTTGGATCTTATGGGACATTTGTCAGTGTTTGACCTCACAAACCAACTCAGAACCACTTTAATTTAAGAAGGAGAGCTCGTGAAGATGCAATATTCATTTAAAGAGAATGGACTAAAAAATCACCAGATTAGCTCGCCCTTTGTCGTTGTCGTCCAAAAATATCATAATCACTTGGACACATGTCTCCTAAATGATGTCATCATCACCTAGACGATCACTTCAAAACCGATAAGTGGCACCCATGACATGAGCTCCTCATTTTCAGTCAATTAGAAGTCAACAATTGTTACTTAGATGATAGATAATCATGACAGAGGCCCATGATGACTTATTTGGCAAACCTCAACAACCAATCAGAAACCTTAAATCTAGATGGTGGCACATACTTCTAAGTCAACACTAACACATACTTCTAGGTCAACATTGCAGCTAATATCATGTCGGCCAAGTTGCTTGATTTTGAGTCCCATAAATGTCGAAATGGTTCCTAAAAAATCAAACTCAATATATTCTCTCTAATAGACTCTAAACTTCAATTAATGAACTTATCCCTTAATTTTCCTAAATTCTAGCAAATACTCTAACAAAACTTTATTGAGTAGATCTATATTTGCTACATCATTTTTAGTCATCAACATATATCATCCCTAGTTTTATTACATGATTGACAATGTATTGAGGATATTAATCTCAGAATTTACCTAATGCCTAACAACTGTGCATTTTAAAGTTTGAAATAAAAAAGTTAAAGAAAAATAAGAATACAATCAGCTCACACTCTTGAGTATTGTTAGGATGATTATTTAATGTCGACAATGCAGTTACGTAGTTCCATTCAGTGCAAGAGATCACTAGCTTGTGTGTTTTAACAAAACATAAGCTCTCAAAAATAACGTAACTTTTATAGGACAGTGGGAGAAAAGCTACGAAAGACATTTGAAAAGCTTGCAATAACCATGACATTAGGGATGGCGAGTGAGCCCGCGTAGCTCAAGTGATCGTGGGTTGGGGCTCGATGAAATCAAGTTAAGGCTTGGGCCAAGCTCCGAAATGCCAAGCTCGAATTTCGAGACTTGGCCCGAGCTTGGGCCAGCCCGTGTAGCTCATCGACTCATAACACGAGCAAGAAAATGGCCCCATTAACAAAACGTCATTTTTGGCACCTGTCATTGCAATAACCTCCAAAAAGCAAGCAGCTACTATTGTTTTTATCCTTGGAAATGTGCAAAATTACGTTTTCAAGAAAAAGTTGACAACATGATATTCAAGGAGTTGTAGTAGATTCAAGGATAAGATATTAAAAGTTTTTAAATTCATTTGTTGATTTTTTTAAAATTTATTATTTTTAAAAATTATACATGAAATATTTTATTTCTATAATTTTAATTTTAATTTTGCCTACATTGATTGTAGTCGATCCCAAACTTAAAAAAGGAGGATTGTAACTCTTATTTAATCTACAATTAGTATGAAGTACACAATTTAAAATAAAAATATCAGGAGCCAGCTTGGCTCGGTGAAGCCTGAGCTAAGCCACAAAATCTCAACCGAACTTTGGCTCAATTAGACTCAGCACGAGCGAAAAAAGTCTAGCTTTTTTAGTCGGGCTGTTTATGAGTCGTAAACTTTGGCATGCAAGCTAACTTGTCTCAACTCGTTGACACCCTCATATACCATTATGGTCTTGTATACTATGAATCACAAATATCCCCGGTAGTCATTACCAATCAATGACAATGTCAATTAACATTATCAAATTAGCCAAAATCTGTGTTGCTTTGAAATCACGGAGATGATGTCAGTCAAATGTCAAATCCTACATTTAGCCCTTGTTTGGGTTCCATTCAAACGTGTTTTTGGAGAAAAATATATTTTGAAATAGTGATTTTTAGAGAAAATAATGTGGGTTAAAAAAGGGGGAAAAATTTTGAGGTTACATGTAAGAGGTTGTTTGGTACAACTTAAAAAGCCAATTAAAATCATTTTTTTTATCGTTATTTTACTATTTCAGCCGTCATTTTTGAATTATTCTCTCACAGGTAGAACTTACTTTATTTCTAACGGTAAAAAAATCAATTATCAAAATCTCTACCAAACAAGCACTAATATTATTTTATGGAAAAATGCGTGGTTAAAAGGAAAAGGAAAAAAATGCTTTTTGGATAAAATAGAGTCCAAACAGAGACTTAAGTTATCAACTCAATTAGGAATAAAACTATTCATGGGCATTACTTACCCTAATAAGAGGTATGTAATTGATTTGTCATCTTAAATTCTATGAGGAGAACGTCAACCCAACTTCTAAGTTTTAACTGACTCTATTAGTTAGAAGGTTTTGTTTGGTAGAATGGCAAAAATTGCGTAGTATTGCAGCATCCCAAATTCACTTACCAACTATCAAGTGTAAAACAAGTGCAACTTCCAAAGCTCCAATCTTCTATCTCCACCCAATAAAAATAAGACACGTCAAATGAACTAAAACGTGGCAAAATTATTCGACAGAAACACAAGACTCAATGAACCCCAATCACATCTTAACACAAGGGTTTCCACCGTAATTTTGCTCTCTTTCAGTGGCAGTTATAAAATCCAATTTTGTTTCTGAAAAAAATTTAGTAATATATTTACCCCATAATTTTTATTTCTTTCCCCACATTTTAATTATACTTAAAGTTTTCAATCTTTACTCATTTTAGGACTTATATCATTAATGATTTTTCATGATATTCTTATCTTCGAATTTTTCATTAATTAATATATTTTATTTTTTTATTACAGTTTATGTCCAAAAAAGTCGTTGAAATAACGTATGATAACTTAATTTTTTATAATATTCTAAAAGAAAACAAAAGGAAATATTTTTTTCTTGTTTCAAAGTATAGAAATAAAATATTTTGATTTAAATCATCAGAATACTAATTAAAAATTAAGAATTAAATGAAAAATTAATTACAATTAATTATTACAAGAAACAAAGATAGAGGAGGTTAATTACAATTAATATATATTATATATATCCACCCATTCACGAAACCCGCGTCGTACTCACCGCCAGCAAAAAGCACACTCGTAGTGCTCTCTCTTAAACTATGACGCATATTTGTATGCATAGTTAGATACAAATATAACTTTATTTTCGCCAATTTTATCTCCAAATTTGTTGTCAAAATGAATCGGAGAAACGATCCAAATCCATTTGACGAGGAAGAACCTGAAGTCAATCCATTTTCGGTAACCGTTTTCTCAAATTTTCAACTCTTGGATCTGCCTATTTTTAGTGTTTCTCAGTTTACAGACTGTGACAGTTTTTTATGGCTCTGAATTTCGGGCTTTTGGGTAAATTGGGTTTGTTTGGTGTAGATCTGAATGCTCCGGCATTGTCGGCGGTGAATATGGAATTATGTGTGAAATTGGGGATAAAATAACTATGAAGATTGAAGAGGCGAATCCAAAATTAAAGATTATATTGGGTTTTGAATCAGTTCTGATTATAATTATAACTCTAATGAGATGACAAATTTTTGTTGGAGTCATTGAATTTTCCGGGAACAGTAAATAAAATTGCGGAAATTATATGTTAACCTAGAGCAGTATTTTAGTGGTGACACGTACACTGAATTTTCCTGGTATATGGTTTGTGCACTTTAGTAAAAGTTGTGGCAGAGCGTATTAAAGCATAATTGTAATATAAGAGGATTTAATTACAATACTAGGTCCATATATGCTAATATTATTGGTGCATTTATCACTAAAGTAAAGGAAAGTAGCAACTTAATACAATGTGACTCAAGTCTCTAATGACAATAGTCTCTTCGAAATTCTTGCTAAAACAATGGGTGGTAAGAAGCTTAAGTTGTGTGCTTTGGTAAAAGATTCAAGTAGATAAATCATTTGTAAATTTTCGAGGCAATATGTGGGTCCCACCAACTCCACACCTTCCCAACATTAAAAAGTAATACAAGGAAAAAAAAAAAAATCACGGCTTACAGAGACAAGCTAATATCAGCTGAAGGATCTAATGGTATGCTTAATTTGGATTAAATTTTAATTTGGGTTATAGTTATTAGTTGATTACATCTTATTATCCAATTCTGGTTGCTCTCTAGAACCTTTCTATTCCATTTATAGTAGCTCTCTATCAATAGTCTTATTATCATGCTATTTGTTGGGTTGTGATGCAGAATGGTAGTGCGGCTCCAGGTTCAAAGTCACGGATTCCCCAGATGGTTACCAGTACCCTGGGTTTTGGCCAGAAAAATGATGCCACCGTGGATATACCATTAGATACAATGAATGTAATGTAGTTGACAATTACAATGTAAGAATTTTCTAAATGAGTAACAAAATTTCTTATCTAAATTGTGGCCTAAATTTTCAGGATCCAAGGAAAAAAGAGAGAGAACTTTCAAGTTGGGAAGCAGATTTGAACAGGAGAGAAAGGGTTGGTTTCCACGTTTTATTGAAGATGTCTGAAGATGTTCTTTACAAGATTGTGATTGACGACTTGAAAAGGAAACATTAGGAATGATTTTGCAGTATTGCTCTAATTTGTTTTTCAACGTTTTTGGTCCTCATGCTAACCTCTTAGGCTTAAACTTATACGAAAAATAATTAATTCACAATTTATCACCTTGTTGCGATAATTTTCTTTTTCCCTTTTTTGCCTTTACCCTTTTTTTTTTAATGCTCTGCTCCCTTTTGAGTTTTTTAGTTTCAATGGTACTTAATGTTTTGTGCATTTACAGGATATTAAACGTAGGGAAGATGCTATTGCCAGTGGTATGTTATGAGATAGACGCGAACCATCATGTTTATGCTTTGCTTTTCTTGTTCCCTCTTGTTTCTAATTCAGTTTGCAATGGTTCAATTTCAGCTGGTGTTCCTGTGAATGATAAAAATTGGCCTCCCCTTTTTCCAATTATTCATCATGATATAGCCAATGAGATACCAGTTCATGCTCAGAGGTTGCAGTATCTGGCTTTTGCAAGTTGGTTAGGTGTGTGTGGTGCCCTCCTTTTTGATTTTTAGTTTTTTACTTGTCAAGCTCCTCTTCTTTACAAGGTTGTATCTTATACTTCCTAGTGCGGGCTTTTGTGTATAGTTCTGGTCACCTTGCTCACTGCTGGTTCTTGGATATGATGGTTATTGTGTGAGAGCAGCTTTGACTTCCGTTACCTTGAATATATGCATCCAAAAGATTGAAATTCATTGTACGAAGCTTTTGAATTTTTATAACTGATGAGATCTGTCTCTGCTCATTTGCCGTAGGTCTTAGCTTGAAAAGTGGCTGACCAATTTTCTGAAAACAGTCACAGTCTCACAGACATTAGAACATGTCTTATTCATATATTTGTTTCTTTCCTTTGAATCAGTTACATCTTTCAAACTATTCATGCTTAGTCTTTGGCAAATCATTAAACACTCTCTTGTTTAGTGAATTAATTTAGATTGCTGCCCTTGCTGTCACCCTATAGATTAGTTTTTTAAATGCTAAGCATAATCAACAATTATTGGCCGAACTGAGTTTACTTATTCACTTTCTTGGTGTTAACTTTTGTAAAATTGGAAATTGGAATTGCCTTATGTACACAGTATGTGAGACTTCGATCTGTGGTTTGTCTCAAATCCAAGGGCATGAATATTATAACTTTGCCTCATCTTATGAAATTCTATGCAGGTATTGTTCTTTGCCTTGTCTTCAATGTTATCGCCATCACGATTTGTTGGATAAAGGGCGGTGGTAAGTTTCTTTGCTTGTTCTTTCATTTCAAATTTTCCTATTTTGATCTTCTGGTGTATTAAGTCATAAATAAATTTGGACTTTGTTACTGTGCTAATAATGCGGTTTGACTGTTCCTAGGGGTCAAGATTTTTTTCCTTGCAATAATCTATGCTCTAATGGGATGCCCCCTTTCATACGTTCTATGGTACAGGCCTTTGTATCGTGCAATGAGGTATTTGAAATCTCCTTGTTTTGCTTTATGATGATTCTTATTATTGTGGAATAACAGCTATTTTGTTACTGATTCTGAGTTCAGGACTGACAGTGCACTTAATTTTAGCTGGTTTTTCCTTTTCTACTTGGTATGTGTTCTATTTGTTTTCACGTACATTTTTGCTATATAAATATAGCATATCTATTCTAATATCTTTGATTTAATTTTCACTATGCAGCTCCACATTGGTTTTTGCATATTTGCTGCAATTGCACCTCCAATTGTCTTCCATGGGAAATCGTTTACGTGAGATTCTTTGTCCATCTTCTTAACCTGGAAAATTGAATTTTGTGGGTCTTCTTGGTTTCTTCTGAATCACAAAATCTGTTCACAGCTGTGTTTACTATCTTATTCTACTTGCTTCAATGGTTAATATAACTTTGTCGTTGACAATCTCTTATATTGTCTCATCTAAATTCCAAATTTGTACACTGTTGTATTTACCATCTTATTCTACTTGGTTTAGTGGTTATTATCATTTTGTCCATGACAATCTTTTGTGCTAGTTTCTTTTTCCTAAATGATAACTGGGTAGGCAAAAGCTAGAAGTCCTTCTCTCTCTCTCTTTTTTTTTTCAATTACATTTAAGCATTGAATATGTTAGCTTATTTAGGACATGCAGCATAGGATTAACTCTGCTAATTTAACTAGTAGGAAGTACTGTGATTGTGGGATGCAGAATTCAGTTTGTACGTACTTATTCTTCATTTTGATGACTAATATATTCTTTTTCTTTCTCTTAATGTCAGGGGTATTCTTGCTGCGATTGATGTCTTCTCTGACGATGTCTTCGTGGGGGTAAGTTGTATGCCCATGCTTGTGTTTTGCCTGTTGCAATTTGAAATTGAATGTCTTTTATAAAATGCCTCCGTTAAGAAATATGAGGAGCATAGTCCTGAAAATTATGTTACTCTATCAGCTTATCCAACAATGGTGATGAATTTGATTTTAATTTCTATTACCTGTATTTTTAAAATGCCCTTGATGATTATAGTTTTTCCCCCCTTAAATGCTATCAAGTTGGGGGTGGGATGGGAGATTATAGACTTGGGTTTCAATTTATCTGCTATTTACGAGTACTTTTACCAGCTAATGAAGTTGAAGCTTATAGTTTGTCCTCCCTCTCGTTTTATCCTCCTTTATATGAGTCCAATGACCAGATGTATCTCAACTGCTAGGCTGACAGTACTTCTGGTTGTTGATAATAAGCTATTGGCTTTTTTAGTGATTGCCATAACTTGGCATGTAATGTTGACATGGACTTCAATTTCATCTGGGAACACTAGATTTCTTATTTTTCCAATGTTTTGTTTTGGTATCGATTGAACATTTTTGGACTAGTTGATTGAGAATGAAAAGCAGGAAAAAAAATCATGTTTCTGGTACTGTTTACAGTGTGGTCAGAATGTACGTGTTAAATAGTAATGATGAAACAATGGCTTCTAAAGAAATTTTTGATGATTTATATTGAAGCTACTTAATTGGAGAGAAGGTATTGAGGCCTATACTATAATGATAGTTCCCTAGTTGGGAAAATTATTCAAATTACTTTTGTGATTATATTACTATTTGGTGGTTATTCATCATTCACTTGCTTCTTTTGGCTGTGGTTGTTGCTTGTCCTTCTCCATTAGTCCATAAACTTGCTTTTATAACGCTCTGTGGCTGGCTGAAAGAGGGGCTTTCTAACTTGGTTCAATTGTCAACATTTTTTTGTTTATTTTCATCTTTTTCTCGTATATATACATGACGTGATGCCTTGCTTTCTGTTGCAGATTTTTTACCTGGTTGGATTTGCATTGTTCTGCCTTGAGTCACTGCTGAGCTTGTGGGTACTTCAGGTTAGAATATTGATCACTGTAAATCTACTAATGATGTACTTTATGAAATGCTCAGGCTTTAATGGTTTGGTGTTCTGTAAACAACTCTATATTTGTTGTACTACTGTGGATGTCATTTAGCCCCTGTTTGACAACCATCATTTGTGAAAAACAATGTCTTGGATATTGATTTTTAGGCGAATGTATGGTTAAAAATTAGGGAAAAGTTTTGGGCTTACGTGCATATTATTTTAGTGTGTGAATGTGTGGTTGAAAATGAGTATGTAGAAAAAAGAGTTATCAAATAATGGTTGTCAAATAGGGATTAGATTTTATTTTTGTTTAAATTTTTGGGTTTGTGCATGTTGCGATGAAAACTTTGAGATATGTCCTCTGTGCATACATGACAAGAATATGAGATAAATGGTATCGCTGCTCGTTTGGTCTGGTTATATGAATTATTTATTCCAGTCTTTCCACCCTATAGAGGGAAATCAAATCATTTATGAAGAATTTGTTGCAATTTTATATATTAAACATGTACACCTATAAATTCATAATTCTAAAAATGTGTGCTTCGGTGCTCTGAGGAGTTCATTAGTTGTGTTTTTTTCTTCCTTTACTGACTTAATGTGTGTATGTTATTGCACTTATCCTTGCTTGCTTCTCTCTCTTTTGCAGAAAATATATATGTATTTCCGAGGGAACAAGTAATACTTGGATCAGGAAACTGTAGGTTTCTCTGAGGGGCACAAGTATGTACATTTCTCTTACTGGTAATGTGTGTTTCTTCTTGTTGAGGCGATGGAAATAGATGTTATGAAACGATTGGATTGGATTTTCCGATAGAAATTATACTACTATTACCGTGGCATGTTTATGTATTCTAAATATTGCAGTAGGTAGATAGAACTCGATTCTGCTACTATTTGTTTTATTTGTTGGAATTTAAGAGGGTTCGAGTTTTCTTTCGTCGCTGCTCATCTTTGAGTTTATGTATCCTTGAATAATCTGTTCACAATACAGTATGTAGAACTTAATAGAAAATTATTTGGAAAATCTTAATGTTATGCTTGTTCACAAGTCAGAGACAAGAACCAATGCAACGACAACGTTTATTGTTTAATAGTAACATTATTTTGAGCTTAACATGCCTTCATGAAAAAAAAAAAAGAAGATTAATGGAAGCAAATAAAGATCAATTTTAGAAAGAAGGTGATATAGGTTGAGCTGGTCGCCCAAATGCATCATTACAATTAAAAAAAAAAAGAAAAAAAGTAATAACAATACACGAAGATCATTTATTTTAATGATGTTAATGTGGGAGTTTGAGATATTTTAAACAAATTTAGAAGATGATTATTTTTCAATTGAGACTTGTGTATTATTGGTTTCTGATGAACAAAGTACATTTATTGCAATTAATGTGTCGTTAAGTAGTCTGACAATTTTATAGTGTGCGACGATTTACATCAACGAGAATTTCTATTTCATTATAAAAAGAAAATTTTTTGTAATTACATATTATTTCAGCCAAATGTCTTTATTACATAAGTAAAACTGTATCTATCGTAACACACTCAGGTCACAGCTAATTCAGACAAAAACTACTTTAAATTTTGAACAAAATTAACTAAAATAAGTTGCCTTCTTGCGCATATCATTTTGATCTCATCCTTTGTTTCTTACTCGCTGGCTTTATTCTTGAATCCTAGACAAGTGGTACATTTAAACCTAATTTATCATCCAAATTGTTGAGACGTGTAAAGAAATTACTCTTTTAAGTAGTGTCAAATGAGCAAATCATTGGCCAAGAAGAAAATGTCTTCTATTGAATTGATGCATTTCGCCGTCCTCGTAAGCATAATAGTCAAGAACCTCTATGGTAGCTATGTTCTTTGCTAAGTTTTTGGTATTTGCCTTTCAGAAATGTCCAATTCTCTTGAATAACACTACCCGTTGTTTGACCAGGAGGAAGGTTGTGTATCGTCTATTCTAAGGGTGGCAAAAAGATCGAGTAGTTCATCGGCTCGTCTCAATATGACTCCTGGACAGCTCAACGAGCCCTAGCTTGGATCGAGCAGGGGGTTCGCTTGATGAGCCGAGCTCGCGAACGGCTCTTGGTCCGTGCCCACAAGCCTAAAGTTCATGAGCTAGTCTTGTGGGCTCGTAAAAAATGTGACAAAAAAGTCAAAAAAATTTAAATTAAAAAAAAAAAAATTCTTAAGATTGTGGGCTCAGCTTGTGAGCTCACGAGCTCGTGGGCCGAGCCTTGAGCAAGAGCTCGGGCTCGGCATGGGTAGATGTCGGCTCGGCCCCATTGCCACCACTAGTCTATTCCATAATCCCATATTTTTTAAATTCGTACAAGTGCACGGTTCTTTGATAGGCATGTTCAAACACAAGCACTTCTACTTCCGTTAGACCTTTCTTTGAGCTCGGGAAAAGAACTTCACCGTTCATGCTCTTCCTACTCCACTTTTGACGCTTGGTTACTACTTGCATCTTCGAATGTGTTTCCCTACTTTCTTCAATTAAAATTCTAAATTCTTATGGACTAAATCTGTTTATTTCATGAAAGACTAGAATGAAGCTGGTCGTTACTTTATTTTACCTGATAGATGACCAATATAATACAAATACTAAGAGAATAATCCATTTGTGCCTTTTTTGTACGTATACTACCAAGTGAATAAACCGATGTCTTTTAACTGTCTTGTAAATTTCACGACCAGCTGTTTGCAGTGTGCATGCTAGACAGTAGACACCCTACAAAAATGTTTGTTTCTAGTGCCAAACGCCAACAAAAATTCCCCTTTCTACAATAATCGAATACTCTAAGTGCGTAAATGGGAGAAAGAAGTCCTCAGATTCAAGAAAATATGGAAGAACATGAAGAAGTCATGGCAACACCAGATGTTCATAGAGTGGCTATGGAAATCAAGAGGGCTGAAGAGAATTACCAAAAATATGCGGCGAATCTTGAAGAGAAACCGAGCAAGGGTGAAGTTCTGTGTTGGTATCTGTATGGACTGTGTTCGTATTTTGTTCATACTGTTCTGATTCCGATTGTGTTCCCCCTGATCATCAGCCAAACCGTGTCCACGCCACATGAGCCTCAACAAGGTTGGTTGAAGAGCTATAGGGATTTGAATTGCAGGAAGAATGAAATGCAACTGTAAGTATATATTAATTAGCATCGAAATTAGACAAAAGATCGTTGAAGAAATAATCGTCTTTTCTTCTTAGAAATCAACAGGGTGAGGAATTTTAACTCAATATAATCTCTAGACCATAAAAAAAGTTTAATGATCACAAAGCCTTTCTGATATTTTTGGTTTTTTATGCTTCAATGAAAAATCTTTTACATGACTTGGTTAAACATTATATAATTGATCGCATTCATTCATGAAAGAAGGCGTGTGTTCAAAATGTTTAGGTCTCTAACACCTTAATCTTTTAATGAGTTGGTTCAACATTATATAACTGAACTATCGAGCTTGCTATACCATAAAATACTGATAATATCAGTGCTAAATTACAGATATGAAGGACTAATACAACGGTCTATCAGTGTCAGTAACAAGAATTTCTCCCCATTAGAGTGGACTTCGATTTCATGGTTTACAGGACTCATTCTTTCAGCACCATTACTTGCCGTTGTCTCACTTCACCTCGATTATGACGCAAACCCGCAACTAATACCTGGGGTAGCAACAGGTCTTGGAGTCATCTTCTGCCTCCCTGCAGGATTTTTCCGAAAGTCATGGATACTACCAGTATACATAGCCATTATTGTAGCAGCTAACACTACTGGTGCAGCCTACCATGCCCGCCACCTCGGCCTAATGATCCGAGGATTCATCGGTTCGACCATAACTAACAGCCGTTTCCCTGATAGGCGAGTTTTTGGTAGTTATCTATCCCTTTACAGCACAGCAGCTGGCTGCTTGGGTGCTGCCATTATATCATCATTCACGTACCATATGCTTGGAAGGGACGATCACTTCACGGCCTTATGGGTTGTGTCGATTTTCAGTGGCCTAAAATGGGGTGTCGGATTGGTTCACATCTTCAGCACTAATAGGACTAGTTCGAGAGCCTTTTCATCATCAAACTCTGTACAAAAAGTCCATGCCTTGTCAATTTTCAAGTACCCTTATGCAGTAGGATGTCTTGCTTCGGTTTTCCTTTCATCTTTCTCAACAATGTGCATTTTTGCAGGAGGGATTCTTTATGCAATTGGCTACCTTTGCCTCGAACAACATAACATATTATTTCTATGGTTAACATATTTCCTGGTTCCTTTACTTTCCCTTCCACTGCTCCATCCATTACAGCAGATAATGAAGGCAGATGCCATGAAAATGAAGCTTCTTGGCTTCTTATTAGCAACGCTCACTTCCGGTTATGGATTCTATTTCCACAAACAAAATTGGCAGATAAAACATCTGCTTGTTTTTGCTGCTGTCCAGAGCACCGCAAGTGGTCTGCTGCATGCATTTGGAAGGCTTCTTTGGTTAGAATGTTCACCTGCCGGAAAAGAAGGAACCTTTTCAGTATGGTTTTCGTGGGTGAGAGGATTAGGCACCTGTGCCGGTTTTGCTCTTGCAACAGCTGCGCCTGGAAACATTGGAAGGTCGTTTGGCGTAGCATTTTGGGCTGGGATTACCGGGATGGTTATTTTGATCTTTGCCAATATCACTAGTCTTGAAGCAGCCAAAGCCGCCGGACTTGTGATGGAAGATAGCGAGAAAGCTTCGCAAGCGTATGGCTGGGACGATGGCATCGACATACAGGGCTCAGTTACAATAGATACACCAACTCAAGGGAAGATTTGAGTTTAAGATAGACTTTTTTTTCCTGAAGATACTGAATAAGTTGAGTTTATCTGATTATTCTTTTGTAATAATTGGGAACAATAACAGTTAATTCTGTTGCTTTTGATTATTCTGATCTGGTACTTTAAATAACTGTAAACATTCTTAGCACAATCGATGGGATATTACTCGACAGAATAATGGAAAACTATTTCATATGCATTTATAGTCTTGTCAAGTTTGACCAGGAAAGTTTGGTTCTATTTTAACTCGATTCTAAGTTTTCGAAATTGATGTATGGACAGTATAATTTTAGTTTTTGATGTAGAAAAGAATCCTGAAACCAAACAAGTTCTTGAGAAATGAATCTTTACAGCTCAAAACAACCAAATCTTGTGCACCCCATAAGTGTGGAGTTGAAATACAACCTTCAATTGATAAAAAAAATACTGACTTGAGTTCCAAATCAATAATAATAATAATGAAATCGGAATAAGCTTTGAATGAATATAAACAATTCCCTTCAATATCACAAAGATTAGCACTAAAATGGAGTGTACACACACATGGTAGCTCCACTAGAATGTACCAAGAATCCTACTCAAAGCCATGAAGAAATCACCCAGAATCACATAGAGAACAGCCGCACACACAGGCAATGAAGGAGCCACAGCAGGACGAAAACAAGGGCCGAAACAATAAGGGGAAAGCCTACCTGAACAGGCACGAAGCCAATAACCATGTCTCTGGCATTGGTTCCAGCAAGGTGAGGTAGAAGAGGTCTTACAAAAGGGACTGTAGGATTTTATAGAACAAAGAGGAAGAGAAAAACAGATTTCTGCTATGTAAAATTCATCAGTAAAAAGCACCATTACCAGCAGCTATTTCAAGTGTAACACAAGAGATTTTCAGCCATACCATTAGCCAACAACTCCTACCAACTACAGCCTTACCTAGTGGCAGAATAGCCATACATTGATAGACTTTATAATCACAAAAAAATAGACATAACATAGGCTGATTTTAATACACACAAAGACATTACAAAATGTGACAGCAAAAATGACAAACCAAAGTCAATACTCCTCCTTGACATTTTTGCTGGAAACACCAAGGCATCTCCTTAATGTTTCAAACCTCCCTTTGGATAAGGATTTAGTAAATATGTCTGCATATTGAACTTCTCCATTGCAGTGCATCAGCTTTACTTCATCATTTTCTTGTGCTTCCCTAATTGAATGATATCTTATCTTAATATGCTTTGTTCTCCCATGAAACATAGGATTTTTGACCATTGCTACTGCTGATTGGTTGTCACAATAAATGATAGTTGAATCACCTTGTTTATGCTTAAGATCTTCCAGCATTTTCCTCAGCCATAGTGCTTGATTTGTTGCTTCTGCTGCTGCTATATACTCTGCTTCTGCTGTTGATTGAGCAACAGTTTTTTGCTTCATTGAATTCCAGCACACAATGCTTGATCCCAGATAAAATACATACCCAGAGGTGCTCTTCATATCATCAAAAGATCCGGCCCAATCACTATCGGTATAACCTCTTAAAATCAGATTTTCTGTCCTCCTAAACCATATTCCCAATTTTGTAGTCCCTTTGATGTACCTCAGTACTCTTTTTGCTGCCTGAAGATGTAAATTCGTTGGCTCTTGTCTGAATCTAGAGAGGAGATTTGTAGCATACATGATATCTGATCTTGTTATGGTTAGATACATTAAACATCCTACCAAACTTCTGTACACCTTTTCATCAATTCTTATGCTTCCATCTTCTTTCATCAATTTCAGATTTTGAACCAGTGGAGTGCTAACTGGTTTGCAATTCTCCATGCAAAACTTCTTCAAGATCTCATCGGCATATCTCTGTTGACAAACGAAAATGCCTTCTTTTGATTGATTTACTTCCATTCCTAGAAAGTACTTCATTTCTCCTAGATCTATCATCTCAAATGCCTTCATCATTTCATCTTTCACTTTGTCGATTAAAGCCAGATTACTACCAGTTACTAGCAGGTCATCAACATACAAAGAAATGATGATTGTTTCTTCCTCCACTTGCTTCATATAAAGTGTTTGCTCATTAAAACTTTTGGCAAAACCAAGGCAACTCAAATGCTCGTCTATTCTGCTGTACTAGGCTCTTGGAGCCTACTTCAAGCCATATAGTGTCTTCTTTAATAGATACACCTTTTCCTCCTTTCCAGAAACTAGAAAGCCATCAGGTTGGTCAATATAAATTTCTTCATTTAAGTAGCCGTTTAAGAAAGCTGACTTTACATCAAGTTGATGAATTTTCCAGCCACTTTGAGCAACTATTGCAAACAACAATCTGATAGTTTCATACCTGGCCACTGGAGCAAAAGTATCTGTGTAATCTGTACCATATTGTTGTGCATACCCCTTTACAACCTACCTGGCTTTGAACTTGTTGATAGTGCCATCAGGATTCACCTTGGTTTTGAACACCCATTTAACACCAATAACATGTTTATCCCTTGGCCTGTCAACCAGCTCCCAGGTTTTATTCTTTTAGATCATCATCAGTTCTTCTTTCATTGCAGTCAACCACTCTTGTGAATTTACTGCATCAGCAAAATTTGTTGGTTCCAGAATTGCTGAATTGCATCTTGTATACACATCAGCTAAGGGTCTGGTTCTTAGCACTCGATTTTCTGAATCAGATCCACTATCATCCTCTACTTCATTAGGTTCTATTTCATCTTCATTTGTACCAGTCTCTTCCACTTCAGGAGGTGTTCTTTGTACTTGTGGCTGCACTAGAACTTTGTACTCCCAATCCCATGAGGATTTCTCATCAACCTTGATGTCTCTACTGGGATACACCTTGTTTGTTTGTGAATTGTATACTTTATAACCTTTAGCAATTCCACAGTACCCCACCAAGACACCAATATCTGCCTTTTGACTCAACTTATCTCTTTTAGGATTTGGAATGTGAGTATAACAAATGCTTCCAAACACCTTCAAGTGAGCAACATTAGGCTTGATTCCATACCAAGCTTCATAAGGTGTTTTCTTATTCAACGCCTTTGTTGGAAGTCTATTGAGAAGATATGATGTTGTAATTACAGCTTCTGCCCAGAATTCTTTAGGAATGTTCTTCTCAATCATCAAGCATCTAGCCATCTCCATTAGAGTTCTATTCTTTCTTTCACTTACACCATTTTGTTGAGGCGTGTAAGGAATCGTGTCAGTTGATGGTTGATTCCAACAGCTTTACAGAATTTTTCAAACTGATCACTTTTGTATTCAGTTCCATTATCACTTTTGATGGCCTTGATTCTACAATTGCTTTCATTTTCAACCAGATTTTTGAACTTATGGAACACACCAGCAACTTCAGACTTGAACTTCAGAAAATATACCCAACACATCCTTGTTAAATCATCAATGAAGAGCACAAAATATCTACTGCCATTAAGTGTTGGAGTTCTCATTGGACCACATACATCTGTGTGTATTAATTCCAGTTTTTCTGAGGCTCTTCTTGACTGGTTTTTTGGAAACGGCAACATGGTTTGTTTACCTCTTTGACACACATCACACACACAAGCTTCAACACTTATATCTGGTATATTTTCAGCTAGCTCAAACTTGTGCATATGTTTAAGTGATGTTAAATTAGCATGACCAAATCTCTTATGCCAAAGTGAAGCCTCAACTTCAGTACAAGTAAAAGCATTAGAGGTCATGTTCTTCCATTCTAATGGAAAGCTTCTTTGCCTCATTTCAATTGACATCAATTCCTTTCCACTTGGATCATATATAGTGCAACCAGTATTTTTAAAAATCAGTGTGTAACTCCTCTCAATCAATTGGCCTACACTTATCAAATTATGATCGATATTAGGTACATAAAGTACATCAACAATATGTTTAATACCTGATGGAGTTTGAACAACATTCACTCCAATCCCTTCTACTTTCACATAGTCTCCATTGCCAACCTTCACCCTTGATTTATATGAGCCGTTTAACTCAACAAAGGTGCTGAATTCTGAAGACATATGGTGTGTGCAACCACTGTCCAATAACCATTTTTTAACACTGCTGCAGGCTTTAAAATTAATGGCAGTAAACAAATGCTCCTCCAGATGTTGAAGCTCATCCTCTGCCAGTTTTGCCTGCTGCTCGTTCTGGTTTTCCTTTTGATTTTTACACATTTTTTGCACATATCCAAGTTGCTTGCAATTCCTACATTGGACACCAGGTCTATACCGACACCATTTAGGTGAATGACCAGTTTTTTTGCAATGTATGCAAGGTGGATAAGTGTCCTTTTTATCAGCAGCCTTGTTGCCTTCACCCCTCTTCTTTTCCTGATGGTATTTCTTCACTCCATTGCTTGTTTGTGCTTTGTATTTTCCTTTAACAAACAAGACTCCTTCTACTCGCTCTTCTTGCCTTATTAATCTTCTTTGCTCAGTAGCCTGAAGAGGATTTATCAATTCAGACAAGGTTATGGTAGAAAGATCCCTTGAGTCTTCAAGTGATGAAATTTTTGCCTCAAATTTTTCTGGCAGACTGATTAGAACTTTCTCCACAACCCTTCTACCAGGTAGATCATCTCCTAGTAACCTTATTTTTTTCACAACCTTCATTAGTCGATCTGAAAAATCCTTGACAGATTCTGCCTCTTTCATTTTCAATCCCTCATACTCCCTTCTCAAGTTTAGAACTTGCATNGACAGATTCTGCCTCTTTCATTTTCAATCCCTCATACTCCCTTCTCAAGTTTAGAACTTGCATTTGTCTAGTCCTTGCATTGCTTCTAAATTCCTCTTGCAATCTGTCCTTGGCCTCCTTGGCAGACTCACAAGTGATTATCCTGGTAAATATTGCATCAGAAACAGCTGACTGGATACAGGATAAAGCCTTGAATTTTTTTGCAACCTCCTCACTATGTTGCTTTAATTGAGCTATGGTGGGATTTGCCCTGAGTGGAGGTGGTTCCATACCAGTTTCTGTGATTTCCCACAGATCATAGGCCTTCAGATATGCCTTCATTTTAGCAGCCCAGAAGTCATAATTTTCTCCTGTGAATGCTGAAGGCAGAGGTGCTGAAAAACCGGTTGAAGCCATCTCACTTCCTCACAAGTCACTTGGTTGTTTTTATGAAGGATTGCTTACTTGTTTTCTCTTA